GCGCGCGCACTTGGGACCTTTTTGTACGTACTATAAACCCACAGGCGCATGACTTTTTTCCCTCGCAAAATTCATGTAATTGACGGCAAGGTAACATTTCCAGAAAAAGATTATTGGACCTGTTTATATCGCTGCGAGTTGGGATCGTTTTTTGCCCTTTTTTGTCCTATGGAAATTTTTATTTCTTCAGCTCACTTTTTACTCATGCTTTTGTGCACAAGTTTGTTTGTTCAGATCAGCGGAAATAGCCGCAGCCATTGCCCACTGTAAAGAGCGGCTCAAAGAGCGCATGTCGGAAAGGAACTCGCCAATAAAGCAGATGTACCTTGACAAACTTGTTCAGCTGAACCTTGAGAAACAGAATCTAGAGGTTAGCTTCTTTTGTCTTTTGGTCATGTGCTTTTGATTTAATGCCGCATTGACCCTACTTGCCATTTTTTGCTAGATTTTGATGTATTTACATCACATGTTACGTCATTGGTAAGCATGTATGAACATGGCCCTTATCTTAGGAAAGCTCTGCTGCAGCTGACGAGGTGACCAAAGTCCTGGGTCACGAATTCCAGCTACAGAAAACTCACGGACGAAGGAACCCTTACTGTGAGGTCTGTATGGGAACAATTTGGCGCATGGTTCAGTCATGGCGGCGATGTAAAGGTGAACATTTCTCTCTGTTTATCCTTTTTGAGCTGTTCTCATCGTTTTCCAACTTATTCTTTTTCTTAAGTTTGTGGAATTCGAGTTCACGATAAGTGTGCCAACGAAGTACGTCGAGTTTGTGCTGGAGTAGCAGCATCTCGACGTGACTTTCGATTAGCAACGTCTATATGCGAAGAAAGAGGACTTTGTGCTCAAAACTACGCATGTGCGGAATGTGAAGCTCCGCTTGCTTATGGTATGTTTATCCAAACATTCAAAGATCATATCTCAGCTTATTAGTAGGTGATTTTCCTTGTACTTGAACCATATAGATGGACCTGTCAACCAGCAGCCAAGGCTTTGTGAATATACTGGTCTTTTATTTTGTTCTCGTTGTCACTGGGCTGATCAGTGGTCCATTCCTGCGAGGTAAAATTGTAGTTTTCAGTCGTCGTTCATTGCTAAAAGCTCGTTTTTCTAGAATTATCCATAATATGGATGCAAGACCGAGACCAGTTTGTCGAGCAGCCAAGCAGCTTCTAGCAATTATTGATAATCGGCCACTAATCGACTTGTCACAAGTGAATCCATCCCTGATCAAGTATCATAAGGTAATTTGTTTTGTTCACTGGTTTTATTTGTTCTAGTTATCTAGTGAGGTTGGGGTTCTCGTTATTGTTTACGTGCTATAGGAACTGAAAAGAGTGCAACAACTACGACGCAACTTTCTCCTCATGAAATGCTACTTTGTCAGCTGTCGCGTGAGTTTTACTTTTTTCGTTTTTTTCTTTCCTGCACATCTTAAGAGCAGCGTCCACGCAAACGTCCGACTTGGAGGAGACCACGCCCACTTCCTCGCAC